TTCCCTACTATAGTTATAGTATAATGGGCCCCAAAAGCCTATTCTAATTTCTACGTGTGTGTTTTCAGGACCGCTTGACAATGAAAGCTAGTATGTTCTCTTTGGGTCCGAGGGTCCCTAAACCCTAAACCCTAAACCCTAAACCCTAAACCCTAAACCCTAAACCTGGTGTTTGGAGATTCGCAGTCGTCCAGATTCAGTAGGACAGTTTGGGGGCTCCTTACTACAATAGAAGTATAACATACCCCGGTTTACGGTTTAGGGTTTAGGGCAAACCCTAGTCTAACTATTTAGGCCCCTACATAAGGGTGTGTGGGTTTAGGGGTTTAGGGACAGCTCCTAAGCATGATCACAAAAGTGTCCAGAAGGGTCTACAAGCGTTTCTATAAGAGAGGGCCGAAGATATGGCGTTGTCTTTCTTGGAGTGTAGGCAGGCAGGCTATCTTTGAAGGTGCGGGGTATGCTATAAAAGCATAGTTCAACAGCGTCTGTGATTAACGGATTACTATTCCTTCGAACCTCTGACATATTCTACTTTCTGCTTCATAAACTTCCAAAGGGCTATATATACCAATCTACTTAGCAAGTACTTGCTACAAAAAGTCGCCTGACCATTCACCATCATTTCTAGGGCCGTCCTCCCCATCATGAAAGCCAATTCTTCCCCAAAACCCTTTATACACTCGAGACCCTATAAGCCCTAAACTCTAGACCCGAAACTTTAAGCCTTAAACTTTAGACCCTAAACCGAGACCCCAAAACCCTAAACTCTGAACTCTAGAGCCTAAGCCCTACAAAAGGAGGCTTCAAGGCATCGTAAGCTCCGTGCGCTCGCGGCATCGATCGGAGGAGCGCTGGTCCTTTCGGACAGCTCAAAGAATTTGCGAAGGCTCAAGGGTTAATGTAGGGGCCTTAATAATTAGAATAGGGTTTTGGAGACCTTTATAATCTTATTATAATTCTAAGAAGGAACCCACAAAACAGCATTTAATTATTTAGGCCCCTGTATTACTACAATGGTTTCGGGTTTTCGGGTTAATTGGTGCCAGGGTTTAGGGGTTTAGGGGTTTGGGGAGGGGCTTAGGGTTTAGGGGTTTCCTATATAGGGGCCTGAATAGCACCGGGAGCTTAGCGCTTCCAGTTTTAATTGCCAAAGCCCCCTATGCCCTAAACCCCTAAACCCTAAACCCCTAAACCCTAAACCCTAAACCCTAAACCCTAATGTATGAAGGCTGCGATCTCCATATCATTCTCGGATTCTGCAATGCCCAGGCGTGACAGGGTCTCTACCATGGGAGCTAGGATTAGGGGGACCCTTGGGGATACCGAGTTTAGGATGTAGGGTTTAGGGTTTAGGGTTTAGGTTTTAGGGTCTAGGTTGTAGGGTTTAGGGTTTAGGGATTAGGGCGACCCTTGGGGATGTAGACCCTCTCAGTAAGGTCCCTTTTAAGAGAGCCAAAAGTAGGGTTCAGAAGGGGTACCCTTTAAGGGGTACCCCTAATAATACTACCTATACCAGCTCGCTTTGATGCTGGATGCGTCAACGAGACTTGCCATACTGGCTGGACCTCAGCTGCCTTCCGCTGCCTAGAGGAACCCTAAACCCTACACCCTAAACCCTAAACCTTAAACCCCTAAACCCTAAAATCCTACCCGATAAGCACCCCACGAAGCCACAAAAAGAAGCAAGAGCTCTGCTTTCGGCTGCAGTCCATCTTCCGCACCAGAGCTGTCAGCTTGGATGCCATTCGACACCGCGGCGTTGGCATTTGGCTACTGCCTCTTTGATCCGGCCCACCCCCGCTGAGAATTAGGGGTTTAGGGTTTAGGGTTTAGGGTTTAGGCTGAGAACCACCTTCTCTGTGTTTCTGACAGGGGGCGCAGTACACCACCGGGTTGCCTGTCATCGCATGATCCCTACGTTCTCTGTCGGGCCATGGCGCATCGCAACGTCCAGCCGGCAGATGAACGCCATGCCCTTTTTGGGGCTGGGCGGTGCGATGTGGGTAGTTCTCTAAATTAGGGTCCCTCTGTAAAGACCCCAATATAGCACAGGCACCCATATACAAAAGGACCCTAAAAGGGGCCCTTATTTAGAGAACTGCCCATGTGAGTGTCTCAGGTAGTCAAACAGTCACCGCAGAAATTCCAAGGAGCTGCTTTTCTGCAGCGGCCGAAGCTTAAACAATAAGCTTAGGACTTGGGGCTTAGTTGTAATTTGTCCTAAAGCCTAAACCCTACTTAGAGGTTCATGGGTAGTTATAAGTGGGGTTCTAAGTAGGGTAGCTATAGTTATAACCCATATTAGGGGACTTATAACCCCACTTATAACTACCCATGAACCTCCGAGTAGACCCTATACTAAGAAAGCTCTGGCCCTGGTATAATGTAGGGGCCTTGATATGTTTAATTGGGTCTTGGAGCATCTAAGACTAGATTCAAGGAGCCTACAGGAATAAGAATTGTGTACGCTCTGGCTCCATTTTTCCTTTCACGGGCATATAGAATATAGTCGTAGGTTCGTAGGAACCATAGTTCTGGATAAAGGCTGGGGGCTGAACATGCAGCCTGTAGGTTTGCGCAAACTTAACTTAAGGCGCCTAAAATGTCCTAGTGTGGTACCCTACATGGTAGGACCCTTATTATAGGGACACCAAAATACAGTACCCTAATTTTTGGAAGCTCCCATATCTTAAATATCCTTGGGCTGGAGTTCTCCCCAGCACCGTGGATGCCGACTGCAGGGGATGTATGCAAGCAAGTACGGTTGATGATATAAATCTTGCAGCACGCATAGTAGGAATGTACCACAATTCCCATAGTTTAGGGTCCATCAGGTAATGCAGGATTTATATCATCAACAGTTAGGACAACGTTTTGACAACCACGGCCCTAAACTCCTAACCCCCTTTAGAACCCTTGCCAGACACCATTAGATGACGCACATAAAGCCCGGAGCCCTAGCCGCCTTAGCCTCAAACCCAGAATGGCCAACTTATGGGACTCTCACTGACATCAAAACCCTACACAAAGCACTGCAACAACAAACCCGTATACGAATCCGTTGAAGAACGCACCATTTATGGAACCCTTCTTGAAACCTGAAACCCCAAAACCCTACACCCAAACCTCCTGGAAGCCCTAAATACATCCATCCATGCAACCATCCATCCATGCATGCATGTGTATACACACATACATACGTGTATATATATATATATGTGCATATACATACACACACTAAAGATCAACATATGTATATATATATATATACATGTATACATTTGTATGCCATATATAAACAAATCAACATATACATATATATATATATATATGCATATTAATATACATATATACTAGGATATAGATATTTACGAACTCATGTTAAAGAGCCGGCAGAGAACCCTCCTAACGTGAACCACAATTTCAGGCGCGCGCCGCTCGGCCAGGTTCAGCTCGATCCGGCCCTCCGCGCGCTTTGGGCTTCGGCTTCAAGGGATCCCCAATGTAGGGGCCTTGGGGTTTAGGGTTTAGGGTTCAGGGTTTAGGGTTAGGGTTCAGGGTTTAGGGTTTAGGGTTCAGGGTTCAGGGTTTAGGGTTTGGGGTGTAGGGTTCCGGGTGTAGGATCTAAAAGGGATCCCCAACGTAGGGGCCTTGGGGTTTTGGGTTTAGGGTTCCAGGTGTAGGATCTAAAAGGGATCCCCAATGTAGGGGCCTTGGGGTTTAGAGTTTTGGGTTTAGGGTTTAGGGTTCCGGGTGTAGGATCTAAAAAGATCCCTAACGCAGGGGCCTTGGGGTTATAACTTTAAGGACCCTCAACTAAGGGAGTTATGGTATATTCCTTCCTTATTATGGTTACTGCAGGACTTATATCATCAACCGTAGAAGGGGATTGGGGTTTGGGGTTTAGAATTCAATTTTTATTATTTCTAAGGTGTGAAGTAGAGGGTTCAAAGTTTAGGGTTCAGGTTTCAGGGTTCAAGATTGAGGCTCCAGGATGCAGGGTAGAGTCGGGGAGAGCCTCGAAGAAGGAGGGTTGAGGGTTTAGGGTAGAGTCGGGTAGAGGCTTCAGGATTTAGGGTTCAGGGTGTAGGGTAGAGGGTCTAGGGGTCAGGGCTTAGGGCTAAGTTTAGGGTTTGGGTTTTCAATTTCTGTTTCAAGGGACCTAGAAAGGTTCTAGAATGGATCTATAAGGATGAAGGGTTTGGGTTTAGAGTTTCGGGGCTTTAGGTTGAAGCATAGGGAATCCTTTAGGGTTCTTTCGGGTTTTAGGGTTTAGGGTTGAAGGGTTTCGAACTTCTTTTGACTGCTTGTTCATTGTTTTGTTTCTTTATGTTTGTGGGCTGGCCGTCGGGCCCTCTTCGCGAGGGTGGGGGAAGGGTGATGGGTTCTGAACAGATTTGGGTAGCTTTCATGGAAGAAGCGGTGCGCAGATCATCGCTGAAGTCACTTGTGTCATGGGAGTGGATGGCATCCTTGGCTTCGCAAAAGGTATCGTCATGCAGTGAGCAGGACAGGATCAAGTCCCCGTCGAAGTCCCCGCCTGCCATATGGGTGTTGGCCTAGCCATGGCGCGATATGATGATGCTGTCGTTCGGGATTGGCCCAAAATCATCTGGCGGGGCGATCGCCGTCCAGACTTCAATGTCCCTGGGCTGTGGCATGGGTAGCGCCACACGGCCACTACTCCCTCGAGGTGCTTGCCGCCCGAAATGACGTAGCACTTCTTGTCCGGGAGGAGGAGGACTGCTTTCATGGAGCTGCGTGAGTCTGAGCCGACTCATAGCAGACGGCCTGCCGATACAGAACGCCTTGCCAAGCAACATGTGGGATTGGACGTTAATCTTATGGTCATCCTTCATGAATCAATGAGTGCTCTAACCTACATAGAGAAGTGGGCCGTCCGTAATAGATCTACAACAAGATACGTTGAGGGTTAATTGGCTAATTGCACTCTTCCTCGCCGTGCAAAACTGGGCGATGGACATTTGAGTATGACACGTCGGCGCAAGCTACCCTCGACCAGCATGGACACCCGACACGCCAACGTTATCAGGGGCTAGGCTTGAGTTTACTCGACCCCCCCTCACCCCCACAGATGTAGGGTTTTGGGTGTTGCAGGCAAGACCCTTGAGCCAAAGATGCTGAACCTCAACGCCTAAACAACATACGAACTATGTCCCAAAAAAGCCTAAACAAAATACGAACTATGCCCCAAACCCAAAAAACTCAAAAACAACTAGAGACTTCATTCCTGGAGTTTCAGACTTCGACGGGTTTCGTAGGGTTCCACAGGCAGTTCCAAGGGCTTCTAAGAATTTTCTATGAGAGGTTCTGCTAGTAGCAAGGAAAAGAGTCTACTTCTACCATAAGGACACGGTTTAGGGTGTAAGCTTCACCTAAACCCCTCCCTGTTTGAGGAAGTATAGCACGAAAGCAACCTGAGAAAGGTCGGTACTAGAGAACTTCCTAAGGAACTCTGCCCCGATTCCCCGGCCCTGAACCTAAGCCCTAATTACAGGAATTTAGGGTTTAGGGGTTAGGGTTTAGGGGTTTAGGGTTTAGGGTTGAGGGTTTAGGAAACTACGGGTGGGGAGTTTAGGGTATATAATATAGGGCTTCTATACGGCTTCTTATATAGACCTTTTATAAGGCTCCTATAACAGTAACTACCCACCTGAAAATATCCTAGACCTAAATCCCAAACCCCGGAACCCTGCCTAAACCCCAATCAAGCCGCAAGCCCTAAATTGTTAAAGAACTTCCTCATGAGCCCTCAACCCTAGGCCCTGAACCTAAACCCCAAACACTGAACCGAGTAGCCTCAACCCGCACTTTCTGAGAACTTCATACCTACACCCTCCATCTACCCTCTATTAGACCCGAAGCACCCTGAGCCCTATACCCCTGTTTGAGGGTACACGGAGGATCCTGGTAATGAGCCCTAAGCCGAACTCCTAAACACCCAAAGAAACTTCGGACGGAGTCCTAACCTGTCAGACTACATCCTGAACCCTAAAAAGTGGTTTAGGGTTTAGGGTTTAGGGGTTTCGGGGTTTAGGGTTTAGGGGTTTAGGGTTTAGGGGATTAGAGGTTTAGGGTTTAGGGTTCAGGGTTTAGGGTTTAAGGGTTTAGGGGTTTAGGGTTTAGGGTTTAAGGCTTTAGGGGTTCGGAACCCTAATCCCTACGACTTTTGAGTCCTTTAAGCATGGACGCCACACGACCGCGACCCGCCTTGCGAGCGGAGCCGCTCAAAGGCCTCAGCTTCACGGGTGAGCCCCTCTCGAAGGATCGAGGGTTTTTTTAAGCACCTTTTTCCACCTCGCAGTTAAGGTCGGCAAAATCGACTTTGCGGAAGGCTTGTGCATCGAGGATTTGGGGTTTAGGGTTTAGCGTTTAGGGTTCTATAAGCGCTTGGGCCTTCCTGTAAGGCTTCTGCAAGGCTTCTATGAGGGATCTAGATCCCCAGTAACCTAGGAGTAAAGGGCTCCCTTTTTGGTATTGGATAGTTTTATAAGGAACCCTAAACCCTAAACCCTAAACCCTTTAAACCTTAAGCCCTACACCCTTAACCTTGCTCCTCCGCTCTTCCACCTGCCGTCCTATTCGTTGCCCTCTTCTTCATTTCACCAAACCCCTTGCCCTTGGAATACGTAATCCTGTTATGTGTATATATATATATATATATATATTTCATTATTTATACCATTATATAACTCCAGTAGTATCAATACAATACTCTTATTTATACCAAGATATTACTCTAGTAAGTTCCGGTGATCTTCAGCATTCTTACGTAGTTATTACGAAATTCACCTCCTGCTTCCCCCAACCGTTTCGGGCCTTTTGCCTTTGCTTTGCATGCGGCAGTTGTCTGAATTAGGGTCCCTTTTTGGGGTCCTTGGTATAGATAGTTTTGGGACCTAGAAAGGGACCCTAGTTTAGAGAACTAACCATGTGGTTTTGTCTTGGCGGAAGAGCATGAAATGTCGAGCCCCACCAATAAGCGTAGGATACAAGCCTCTACAACCCTTATTGCAGCCGAAACCCACGCACCTGAACGATGCAGATCGAATCCCCAGCGGACTCCGCAACCCCCTCGAACCCTAAACGCTAAAACCTCTTAAACCCTTAACCCTAAACCCCCTAGAACCCTGAACTCTCGAGCTCGAACCAACCCTCGCGATCTGGTATCAGACTGAGGGCACCGACGATGGGGGCGCGCCTGTGCCAAGGAACAATGCCAGTCTTCAGGAGGCAAGGCTCTACTTAGGCTTTTTGGTTTAGGAGTCCGGAAATCTGAGATTTCTGATGCTTGTTCTGGTAATGTGGGGGCCTTAATAATTAGAATAGGATTTGGGCCTCCTTTATAGTATTATTACAATAAGGAACCCCCAGAATAGTATAGGTAATTATTTTAGGCTTATTGCTTCAATATTTTCGGGCGGTTTTTGAGGCATTCGGAGCGAGGATGGAAATCTGTCGTTCAAGCAACCAGTATCACTCCTTCTGCAGCATTGCGATGATCTCACGAAGACATCAGCCTACAATGCCCAAAAACCCTAAAGCAGTAAACCTTAAACCACCCTACATACCCCAAAAACCCTGAACCCGAAACCCGAAGCCACCCGAAACCGATTGCTACTGGATGCTCGGAACGGCGCAAACGACAGAAGTCGACGGACGTCTCACGAAAAAAACATCATGCAAACACTCGACGTGAGACGGAAAGGCTGCAAGGCAAAGCGAACCCGAAGCTCTGAAAGTTGAGCATGCAAAAGCAGATGTCTTCAAAGAAGTCGACAAGTGTAGGCTTTAAGATTTTGGGACACAGTGCCGAAGGCTTATAGGGCTTGGAAGGAGTAGATTTGGCGATGCAAGTAGATCGACTCAAGCATCGTTTTGTTTACAGGTTGGGGGTTTGAATGGCAGCGGCTTAAGGTGTAGAGGTTCAAAGGTCGAACAAAGACGTCGTGCAACTGCGCAGATACACGCCCTGGTAATAACAGCAGCAACGACCATAATAACAGTGATAACGATAATGATAGTGACAATGATATGCCGACAATGACAGCGATGGTGATACTAGCTGTGGCGATAATGGCTAATGGTGCTAACCGTTCATTAACGTTACTGCTCTTGGCAACTCCAAAACCCTAAACCCTAAACCCTAACAAGAGAAATTCGAGTATCGGATTTCCCGCCGCTCCCTTGATGTGGGAACGTCACGAGTTTATGCAATTCAGGACCTACAGCTGAGTGCTTCATTGCAGAGGCATTGAAATTTGGGGGGTGACATTATGCCAGAATCATACAGGGAGTATAAGGGGATAGAGCTCAGGCAAGGCCACAACATACAACGAAATGGCGGAAGAACTGGATAGCTCAGTGGCTGTTGCATGCCATCATAGGTTTACAGAATCAGCCGGCCATCTGGCACTCTCGAAACTTTGTAACCTATTATATA